ATTTACAAATATCATTAACTCAAAGAAATAAGGTATAACCTTTAATGCAAAAGAAACAGAAGTTACCAAACATATGTACTGCCTAATATTTTGTTTCTTTTGCTAATTTAAGATGAAATATTAATCAGCAAAGTCTCCTAAGGCCTAATGAGAAAAAAGTAACACAGACAAGCAACTCAAGCAGTGCAACAAGTTTGAATGTTTGAGTATTAGCTAAAGGTTAATCTAATAATAAAAATTGTTCTATCCCCTTCTAAATAGCAATATTTTGAAATGGTTGTTTGTCAATTAATATAAATTATACCAAAACACTGGAACACACTTTGATGGAATAAAAATTACAATAAGCTTCCTAATTCTGATTGATCGTATTTTCAGAAAAGTAACATTTTCAAGGCTTCTTGTGGGAATACTTCAACAATTAGTAACCCCTGACTTAGACAACCGGAAGCTTTAATTGTTCAGCTAACTTCCAAAAGAACATTTTTTTCAGTTCACTGAACTTATTTCATATTCATTGTGATTATCTTAAAACACACATATACCCAAATCTTATATTTAAGAACCCTGACCACTGATCTATGCATTTCTAGTCAGCAAAATGACGCTCTATACAGACACAAATGCAGAAAAAAGATAGTATAAGACAATTGATCTGAAGCCTTTTGAAAAGAACCCTGTCTGCTGAAAGATGAAGTTGCAAGGGACAACTGTTCTGCCCTCTAGTGGAGATCCTTCCTATTCATCAGCAGCACAAATATTTCAAATTTAATTCCACAACCAGGAATGTTTTTGTTTGTTTACAGCCAAACACATTTGCTATAAAATTACTGATTGCTAAACATCAGACCTCAAGGCTACTAGACAAATGATTATTATCTCAGGAAGTTTGAAGGGACTAGTTCTGAACTTCTGGCAAAAGCTATACAAAACCATGGCTCAGCAAACTGTGGGTCAGTTTTATATGAAATCATGATGTTTATTTGATAACATTCCATAAAATCCTCTCTTTAATCCAGGTATTCAGGAACCTATACCACATGTATTGTTTGCATTCCTTTCTATTTTTATTTCATTTCAATTACAAGAATGTATTTTACTCCTGAGAATGTAAATAATGCACAGCCCAGACACAAACTATAATCAAACTCCCATTAAGCATTTGCAGTTACTGCAAAGATTTTTGGTTCAGTTTAAAATTTAGAAGACTATATTTAAACGTGTCTGAGGGGCATGGTATTGACCTTAGTGTATAAGTAAAACTTCTAAATGGCACTTTTTACATTTCAGACCACATTAACTGAAGTTGAATACAGATGTTCATTTTCAAAATGGTATTTCTTGGACATATGGATATAAAAATTCATGGAATAACTTTCAAAATATATTTTTTGTTGCATTCAGGTCTCCTTGTTCTGCAAAACAGCACTCTCTACTTGCTGTAAGAAATATAGTCTATTAATCTATTGTGCTTCTCTATCGAAGAATGAAAGAACCATACATATTAAGGCTGAATGAATTTCAGTTTCTATTATTGAATTTCAGCAGCATGCTTGTGACAGTAACATCATATTTTCAGAAACAGGATTTTAAAAGGTAACAAACCTCACAACAAGCTGCCTGTCAAAAATTGTCATTTAAAATTTCCATTTTACTGTTATGAGAGAAGATTATCTCTTACAGATTATTTCATCAGCTCTTGTTTAAACACAAAAATAAAATTCACCTGTATAATAATCATCTTGGTACTTTACACCATAGATCATATTCATTCAGCTTAAATATTTTTCCTTAACCTGTTAAGACACACCACATTAATAAACCAATAAAAGATTAATGAGCAGATGATATGCCATTCTATTTAGTGCTGAGATAGACTTTATTAAAATAATGCAACTCTAAAGCCTAAATCAGCAATGAATGACCAGCAGTGTACATTGATCATTCACTTCATCAATAGACTGTATTTAATCAAGAAATTATTGACACTTCTTCTGCACAAACACACCTACAGTAGAAGATTAATGAACTTCACGTGCTCAGATACAGCCTTACATCTTTTTTTTTTCAGAGCCCCACCCCTTTCCTTTATTTTCTCTAGTGATTTACTGTAAATAATATTAGTGTATGTTTCCTAAAGGCAAAGCCCTAGAAATGGCAGCACCAGGTTGGACACATACATGCTGAACAGGAGTATATTAAAACCTTCCTTCTGGGTTTTCCCTGAACTGACATAAGAGCCCTCAGCAACCTGCTGGGCTACCTTGTCATTTAGCAATTCCTGAACTCAGTGGTAGGCCCTCCTTGTCTGGCATAGCCCTAAGTGGATGTTTTTAAAATTCCTACATCTATCCTGTTCGAGTCACTCAACTCTTCACATTTGTGTCAAACCTTCTGTGCAAAATGGGGTTAGTTTTCTTACAGACTATTTGTAGATGGGCTACAGGACCCAGTTTGGGGTTAACTTTTTGGGTGGCAGGAGAGGGAAAGTAAAGTGTCCTTATGTCTCTAAAGATGGATGTTTAATGATAATACAATACTTGCATTTCCAAACCTAACCCATAATGTTAAACACAGCAGCTTTCAATTGTTATTCTTAGCCTCCTAATATGCTAAAAAATGTTCACCCCACCCCATTCATCACCCAACTTTTCCCAAGCATGCCAAGATTTCCCTGGCAGTTCCCCCTATGGATTACACGCATGCAGAGGTCTATGAGATATGATGACCAGGAAGAGGACCACGTTTTGGGAAAGACTGGGTAGCTGATGAGAATCCACTACATGTGGCTGGCCTGATGCACTAACAGGTGTCTCTAGGAAAGTTTTGAACTAGAGGACCCTAAAAGGGTTACAAGCAAACGTGGTCAGCCCACGGTGCCAGGGAAAGGGCTGGTGCTAAGCACCTGCCAGTACCTGAACTAATGTGTGCTGAAGAGGGGAGGTAAAGTTTACCAGGGACATTTATAACCTGGTTTTGAGAGGTAAGGAGCAACCTCAACTCCAGCTGAAGTCAAAGGGAGCTGCAGTTGCTCAGCACCTCTGAAAATCAGGCCATAAGTGAAGGCAACACCCATTAGTAGAGACCACATGGAGAAAGCAGCCTATTTAGTAACAGCAAGGAACCCGCTGAGCGCAGGGGAGAACAGGGGCTCGCTTTTGCAAGCCGCTGGCCATACAGAGCTGAGCGAAGGGCCAGAGCGGGGAAGTGGCAATTATTGTTGCGCTTTACAAAGGCAGGGTCTCCCCGAAAGGCGATGGGGGCCGGGGCCGGGTCACAGGGCCCCGGAGACTCAGGCTCCCTGAGTGTTCAGCCCAGTTCGGGGACTACTTAAGGCCATTCTGTCTTTGCAGCGCGGCTCTCCCACCGCCCAAGTATCGTGGCTGGGACTGAGACTCCTGGGGCTCGCCCTAGTGGGAAGTTGGGACTCGGGAGAGGGAGATCGCCCCCCGGACCCTCAGCTGAGCGGCTCCCGATTTACCCACAATAAACCCGGGAAGAGGGGGCGGGGAGGTCGCAGCTCCATGAGCTACAAGGCAGCGAGCTTCCCACGGGCGCAGGGGGAAGGGGCAAAGCGCCGCATCTCACTGCAGACACCATCTTCCTCGGCCGTTCAGCAACGGGCGGGTGGGGGGGGGGTTGAGCGGGGGCTGGCCTCACACAGCACTGGCGCCTGGGGGGGGGGGGGGTGGGATCAGAGGCCACGGTCGGGGGCTGCCGACCGGCGTGTGCTTGGCCGGGTGCCTCGCCCACCCCCAGCGGCCGCTCCCCCCACCTCCAGAGCAGCCCGGCCAAGGGAACTTCAGCAGCAGCCCTTACCCTGAGGTCGCCGCGCCGCCTCCCCGTCCACGAGCTGGACGCGGGCTGCCAAGCACTGGGCAAGGAAGAGCGCTGCAGCCGCTAAGTGGCCGTGCCTCGGGCTCGCCATCGCCCCGCGCCTGCCGGGCTCGCTCGCTGCGCCGCTCGCCTGCGGGGGGGGCCCCGGGAGCGTCCTGCAGATCCCACTGCTAGCCGCGGCCGGGACGCCTCTGGTTCGCATCGGCTCCCCTCCAGCCGCGGGGAGACGCCTGGCTCGGTCCCTCCGGCGGGAGCAGCCCCAAGAACGCAGCAGCTGGCGAGGACAAGCCCAGCTCCGGCCGCCAAGCGCCCAACTCTCCCTCCTTGCGGCGGCGCCTGGCCGGACCCCCCCTGCCCGCCCAGTGGGAGGGGGGCTGGTGGCTCCTGTCCACGCGCAGTTCAAGGCAAAACCTCCCCCCGGCCCGTCAGCGCCGGCACGGGAGCGACCCAGCTCTGCGCGGCTCGAGGGGAGGAGGAAACAAAATAAGTTTCTCCCCCCACCCCCGGCTGGGCGTCTTGTTGCTCCAGCCCCGTGGGCTCAGGCCAGAAAGGCAGAGCCCGCTCCTGGCAGCGGGCGGCGCAGTCCCGGCGAAGGCGCGGGATGGGGGTCCCGGCGAGGAGCCCCGCAGGCGAAGCCGGTGTCTGGCGGGGCCAGCCGCGCGGGGAACTGGTGTGGGGCTGGCGCGGGCGCCTGGCCCTGCGTGGGGAGCGCGCGCCGCCGGCTGGGTGCCCCGAGCGGCCCCGCGCCCCTTTCTCGGGGCCAGGCTGCCGGAAACGACCTGCCCAATTGCTGCACTTTCCTGGGGCTGAGAGAGAGAGGGGCCCCCCGACCCCCTGCTCCTCGGGAGGGGCGGCTGGAGCTCCGCGCCCAGCGGCCCCCAGCCCACGTCGGGCGAGCCCAGCTCCGCCCTGGCGCCCGGATTGCCGGAGGGCAGCGCTCTCCCGGCCCCCAGCAAACACAGCGGGGGGTTCTGCGAGGAGCAGCGTGTCCGTAGGCAGCGTTCATGTGGGAGCGGGAGCGGGGGGGGGAGCTGGTGGAGGATGGAGAAAGGGAATCAAATTAAAAAAGGATTTGTGCTTAGACGGGAGGATAAAGAGGCATTTTGGTTATTGGTGGGAGGAATGTCCCTGAACCGTCCCCCCCCCCCCCAACTCAGTGAGTTTTTCATGGTCCTGCTGCTGCCATCTAAAGTGCAAAGAAGAGTATTAGTTAGAGAAACTGGCTTGGTCCTGAGTTTTGCTTATGTCAGTTTCTGGCATTTAGATCAGCTGGAGATCGGGAAAGAGGGCTGGAGAATAAGCGGTGTTCAAGGGAAAGGAATAGGGACAATCTGCTCCCTAGAGCTATTTGATAGCCAGGAGGTGGGTGAAAGAGCAGCAGCCAGTGTAAGTGGGGAAGGTCACGGTAGGGCTCTGGAAAGTATCACTGTAGCCAACCAGAGCCCCTTCCATTTAACCCTTACACTGGTGAGTACTGGAAATATCGCACAAAGTCTATGGAACAGGGATCCTGATTTTTATAAATGCCTCTCTCGAAATGCTTTTTTTTTCTTTGTGCAAAGCAGATGCATATGGAATATTTCATCCCAAGAAACACTTTTTTAATGAGGAGGTGTCACTAGTAATGCTTTCTGGACAAGTCAGCCCCTTTTGATGCAAAGTAAATGGTTGTGATAGATGTTCCGTACTAAACAATATCGGAACTACGGTTTATACATTGCAAGGCTTTATCCACGTGCTTAATTTAATGAACTCTGAATAATCCTATCCCGTACATAAATGTTTGAAGGATCAAGGGTCCATGCGAGTTAAACTAGCAGAAGGCACATATAACTGTCTCAGGCACACAAATGAAATAGAGACCAGTTTGTGCTAATACTCACACAGTTGTATTAACCAGTTAAGCAGACGATTGCTATAGGAATTCTCATGGAGAAACCTTAATATGCCACAAACCCTTTCAACCCATGATAATTAAATAGGGCTGCTGCGCTTCAAAAATAAATTAACTATTAATATGTAACCACTAAAAGAAACAGCCATGAGATTTTATCTTCATGTAATTTATACCACTGTTTGTGAGATTAAAAATGTATTGGCTCTCTTAGCCCTGATCTACACTAGGACTTTAGGTCGAATTTAGCAGCGTTAAATCGATGTAAACCTGCACCCGTCCACACAATGAAGCCCTTTATTTCGACTTAAAGGGCTCTTAAAATCGATTTCCTTACTCCACCCCTGACAAGTGGATTAGCGCTTAAATCGACGTTGCCGGCTCGAATTTGGGGTACTGTGGACACAATTCGATGGTATTGGCCTCTGGGAGCTATCCCAGAGTGCTCCATTATGACCTCTCTGGACAGCACTCTCAACTCAGATGCACTGGCCAGGTAGACAGGAAAAGAACCGCGAACTTTTGAATCTCATTTCCTGTTTGGCCAGCGTGGCAAGCTGCAGGTGACCATGCAGAGCTCATCAGCACAGGTGACCATGATGGAGTCCCAGAATCGCAAAAGAGCTCCAGCATGGACCGAACGGGAGGTACGGGATCTGATCGCTGTTTGGGGAGAGGAATCCGTGCTATCAGAACTCCGTTCCAGTTTTCGAAATGCCAAAACCTTTGTCAAAATCTCCCAGGGCATGAAGGACAGAGGCCATAACAGGGACCCGAAGCAGTGCCGTGTGAAACTGAAGGAGCTGAGGCAAGCCTACCAGAAAACCAGAGAGGCGAACAGCCGCTCTGGGTCAGAGCCCCAAACATGCCGCTTCTATGATGAGCTGCATGCCATTTTAGGGGGTTCAGCCACCACTACCCCCGCCGTGTTGTTTGACTCCTTCAATGGAGATGGAGGCAATACGGAAGCAGGTTTTGGGGATGAAGAAGATGATGAGGAGGAGGAGGTTGTAGATAGCTCACAGCAAGCAAGCGGAGAAACCGGTTTTCCCGACAGCCAGGAACTGTTTCTCACCCTAGACCTGGAGCCAGTACCCCCCGAACCCACCCAAGGCTGCCTCCTGGACCCAGCAGGTGGAGAAGGGACCTCTGGTGAGTGTACCTTTTAAAATACTATACATGGTTTAAAAGCAAGCATGTGAAAGGATTACTTTGCCCTGGCATTTGCGGTTCTCCTAGATGTAGTCCTAAAGCCTTTGCAAAAGGTTTCTGGGGAGGGCAGCCTTATTGCGTCCTTCATGGTAGGACACTTTACCACTCCAGGCCAGTAACACGTACTCGGGAATCATTGTAGAGCAAAGCATTGCAGTGTATGTTTGCTGGCATTCAAACAACATCCGTTCTTTATCTCTCTGTGTTATCCTCAGGAGAGTGAGATATAATTCATGGTCACCTGGTTGAAATAGAGTGCTTTTCTTCAGGGGACACTCAGAGGAGCCCATTCCTGCTGGGCTGTTTGCCTGTGGCTAAACAGAAATGTTCCCCGCTGTTAGCCACAGGGAGGGGGGGAAGGTTGAGGGGGTAGTCACGCGGTGGGGGGAGGCAAAATGCGACCTTGTAACGAAAGCACATGTGCTATGTATGTAATGTTAACAGCAAGGTTTACCCTGAAAGAGTGTAGCCACTGTTTTATAAAATGTGTCTTTTTAAATACCGCTGTCCCTTTTTTTTTCTCCACCAGCTGCATGTGTTTCAATGATCACAGGATCTTCTCCTTCCCAGAGGCTAGTGAAGCTTAGAAAGAAAAAAAAACGCACTCGTGATGAAATGTTCTCCGAGCTCATGCTGTCCTCCCACACTGACAGAGCACAGACGAATGCGTGGAGGCAAATAATGTCAGAGTGCAGGAAAGCACAAAATGACCGGGAGGAGAGGTGGCGGGCTGAAGAGAGTAAGTGGCGGGCTGAAGAGAGTAAGTGGCGGGCTGAAGACAGGGCTGAAGCTCAAATGTGGCGGCAGCGTGATGAGAGGAGGCAGGATTCAATGCTGAGGCTGCTGCAGGACCAAACCAGTATGCTCCAGTGTATGGTTGAGCTGCAGCAAAGGCAGCTCGAGCACAGACTGCCACTGCTGCCCCTCTGTAACCAACCGCCCTCCTCCCCAAGTTCCATAGCCTCCACACCCAGACGCCCAAGAACGCGGTGGGGGGGCCTCCGGCCAACCAGCCACTCCACCACAGAGGATTGCCCCAAAAAAAAGAAGGCTGTCATTCAATAAATTTTAAAGTTGTAAACTTTTAAAGTGCTGTGCTTAAAGTGCTGTGTGGCATTTTCCTTCCCTCCTCCACCACCCCTCATGGGCTACCTTGGTAGTCATCCCCCTATTTGTGTGATGAATGAATAAAGAATGCATGAATGTGAAGCAACAATGACTTTATTGCCTCTGCAAGCGGTGATTGAAGGGAGGAGGGGCGGGTGGTTAGCTTACAGGGAAGTAGAGTGAACCAAAGGGCGGGGGGTTTCATCAAGGAGAAACAAACAGAACTTTCACACCGTAGCCTGGCCAGTCATGAAACTGGTTTTCAAAGCTTCTCTGATGCGTACCGCGCCCTCCTGTGCTCTTCTAACCGCCCTGGTGTCTGGCTGCGCGTAACCAGCAGCCAGGTGATTTGCCTCAACCTCCCACCCCGCCATAAACGTCTCCCCCTTACTCTCACAGATATTGTGGAGCACACAGCAAGCAGTAATAACAGTGGGAATATTGGTTTCGCTGAGGTCTAAGCGAGTCAGTAAACTGCGCCAGCGCGCCTTTAAACGTCCAAATGCACATTCTACCACCATTCTGCACTTGCTCAGCCTGTAGTTGAACAGCTCCTGACTACTGTCCAGGCTGCCTGTGTATGGCTTCATGAGCCATGGCATTAAGGGGTAGGCTGGGTCCCCAAGGATACATATAGGCATTTCAACATCCCCAACAGTTATTTTCTGGTCTGGGAATAAAGTCCCTTCCTGCAGCTTTTGAAACAGACCAGAGTTCCTGAAGATGCGAGCATCATGCACCTTTCCCGGCCATCCCACGTTAATGTTGATGAAACGTCCCTTGTGATCCACCAGAGCTTGCAGCACTATCGAAAAGTACCCCTTGCGGTTTATGTACTCGGCGGCTTGGTGCTCCGGTGCCAAGATAGGGATATGGGTTCCGTCTATAGCCCCACCACAGTTAGGGAATCCCATTGCAGCAAAGCCATCCACTATGACCTGCACATTTCCCAGGGTCACTACCCTTGATATCAGCAGATCTTTGATTGCGTGGGCTACTTGCATCACAGCAGCCCCCACAGTAGATTTGCGCACTCCAAATTGATTCCCAACTGACCGGTAGCTGTCTGGCGTTGCAAGCTTCCACAGGGCTATCGCCACTCGCTTCTCAACTGTGAGGGCTGCTCTCATCTTGGTATTCATGCGCCTCAGGGCAGGGGAAAGCAAGTCACAAAGTTCCATGAAAGTGCCCTTACGCATGCCAAAGTTTCGCAGCCACTGGGAATCGTCCCAGACCTGCAACACTATGCGGTCCCACCAGTCTGTGCTTGTTTCCCGAGCCCAGAATCGGCGTTCCACAGCATGAACCTGCCCCATTAGCACCATGATGCATGCATTGGCAGGGCCCATGCTTTCAGAGAAATCTGTGTCCATGTCCTGATCACTCACGTGACCGCGCTGACGTCGCCTCTTCGCCCGGTATCGCTTTGCCAGGTTCTGGTGCTGCATATACTGCTGGATAATGCGTGTGGTGTTTAATGTGCTCCTAATTGCCAAAGTGAGCTGAGCGGCCTCCATGCTTGCCTTGGTATGGCGTCCGCACAGAAAAAAGGCGCGGAACGTTTGTCTGCCGTTGCTCTGACGGAGGGAGGGGCGACTGATGACACGGCTTACAGGGTTGGCTTCAGGGAGCTAAAATCAACAAAGGGGGTGCCTGTACATCAAGGAGTATTTCAGGCAGGACTTCACGGAGGGTTCCAATAAGAAATGGTGCACCTAAGTTATCGTTCTTATTGGAACAAGGAGGTTAGCCTGGCCTCTGATTGATACATGGCTAGATTTACCTCGCTGCACCTTCTCTGTGAGTGACTGCAGTGTGACCTAGAGGAATGAGTCCCCTAGACAGGGGAGGAGGCAAATGAGTACAAAACAAATCTGGTCTATTTCTTGTTTTGACCCACTCCATCTATCTTTTACATCTTTGGCTGGCAGCAGACGGTGCAGAAGGACTGCATGCCATCCACATCTCATGGCTGCTCGGCAGAAGATGGTACAGTATGACTGCTAGCCATCCCCATCTCTTGCCTGCCTGGCAGAAGATGGTACAATACGACTGCTAGCAATCCTCATCTCTTGCCTGCCTGGCAGAAGATGGTACAGTACGACTGCTAGCAGTCCGTATCGCCTGCCCGCTCACCATAAGACGGTTCAATAGGACTGACTGCAGGCAGGACTAAAGAGAATGACCTGGTCAAGTCACTCCAAATTTAGTCCCTGCACCCATGTCTGCCCAGGCGCTCCCAGCCGACGTGGCCAGGAGCACCTCGGACATGACGAGGACGGCTACCAGTCGTACTGTACCGTCTGCTGCCACAAGGCAAGGGGTTGCTGCTACTGTGTAGCAATGCCGTACCGCATCTGCCAGCACTCAGGAGACATAGGGTGACGGTTACCTGAGCGGGCTCCATGCTTGCAGTGGTATGGCGTCTGCACAGGTAACTCAGGAAAAAAGGCGCAAAATGATTGTCTGCTCTTGCTTTCACGGAGGGAGGGAGGGAACGGGGGCCTGACGATATGTACCCAGAACCACCCGCGACAATGTTTTAGCCCCATCAGGCATTGGGATCTCAACCCAGAATTCCAATGGGCAGTGGAGACTGCGGGAACTGTGGGATAGCTACCCACAGTGCAACGCTCCGGAAGTCGACTCTAGCCTCGGTACTGTGGAAGCACTCCGCCGAGTTAATGCACTTAATGCACTTAGAGCATTTTCTGTGGGGACACACACACTCGAATATATAAAACCGATTTCTAAAAAACCGACTTCTATAAATTTGACCTTATTCCGTAGTGTAGACATACCCTTACAATTGTTTTACCCTTTAATCTTGACACATTAATGCATAAAACATGCCAAAACACTCATGTCTTAATGCATATTTTCCCTATAAGCAGAACTTTGCACAGTCATTCATTATGAAATAGCCTATATATCTGACACAGATAAATATGCTTGGGTCCACTGTGTTCGTCCTTCTTAAGGATCTTTATTATTTGCAGGAGATTAGCAGAAAGATTTACCAGTCAGTCCAGATATTATTTGCTAACAAATCATTTTAGTAATGCTGTCATTGAATAGAAAGAGAAACTGAAGAGGAGAGAATGTGCTAAATTGAAGACTAAGGTGACATTTTCGCTCCATTGAAATCAATGGTAGTTTTCCCATTTAATCCAGTGGGGTCAGGAATTCCCTCTGGAGAACTGGGTCCTGCCACAAACAGTCAGACTTTGGCCAAGTCACTTGAAAATGATCTTTAAAAAGGTGAAATTTTAAAAATTGATTTTTTTTAACTTTATGATACATAAAGAATACCTGCTAGGTTTTGTTCGTTAACCTTAGAAGTACCAGGAATGCAAGTCCAGTCTTCCCAGCTTTTGCTGGTGCTAGAGATACGAATCATGAGCTCTCACATTTTCATGGAAGAAGCAGCTATTGAATCTTCAACAAAGACATCCTTTCTTGTAAGTTTTAATCAGGCATTGATATTAAAAAGGTGAGAACAAAAGTAAAATAAGAACCAATGAACCTTTAGCAGTCTGAGTAAAAACGTCGTCTGTTTTGGTCAGCATTGTTATGATGGCATACATTCACTCATTCTTCAGTCACACTAGAGTCTTCCAGTGAAGGAAAGATCTGAATGTCTTATACACAGCTTTTCTCATATAAAAAAAGTCTCCTTTGTAGATTATGGTGTATGGTGTATGGTGTATGGTGAAGGCCTGAAAGCATTTTTAGAGAAGCCAAAATGAGTGAAAGCCAATTTTTCTTTCTTCATTTGCAGCTTGGTGCTAAATATTACTATTTACCTGGATTTATCATTTTAGATTTATATTCCTTATACTTGCCTCACAAATACTCTAGTACTCAAAGAAAGTGAGGGACTATACTGTCTTGAGCACAAGCAATCTATACATAGGAATCATACAAGATTCCCCACACAGCTCTGACAACTTACAATCATAAACTGAAACAATCCACTTTGGTGGTGGTTGTCTGATGTTGATACATAGGGATTAGGATAAGAGCATCAAATTCACTTTCACTTGTGCTCTGATGGGTTAGAATTAGGACATAGATCTCCAAAGGTGAATAATAAATACATTATTCTTCTGCACTATAAAAGACAACCAAGACACACGTCCTGGTATAATATGTGTGTAAAAAGACAAGTAAAACCTTATAGTGTGCCAGGGAAAAAAAATCAGGTGAAAGTTAATAATACTATTGTGATTAATGGCAATATGTCATTGATAAGAGGCATTCATAGCAAAGGTAGAGCATATTTATGCATTTATATTAATAAAATATAACAAATAGTGAGAAGGCACCTTTCCTTGTTGGTTCTTTGACTCAATGGATTTAACTTGTTTTGGACAGGATAATTTTTCATCTCTATAATGTTGTTTTACTCCCTCCTTTACATATTGTCCGATGTCTCTAAGGAGCCATTCCTCAGCTGGCCTATATCAGTGTAGTTCCAGTAAAATCAATGGAGCTGCGCTGATTTACATCAGACAAGGATATGGTCCTAAATTCTTATCTTCCTACTTAACTCCAGCATTCCTGATTGTATCATCAATCATCCCAGGAGGCTAGGAGAGACCCATTTGTTGTCTGGAACTGCCTCACTACTTTCAAATTCTCTCTCTCGCCCACACACTGGTTTCACTTTTTCTTTTTCTTGTATCAGAGTCTTTCAACCCCACAGCCTTCTCAGCTTTTGCATCATCTTGGTAGAGCAGAGCTTTAACCACATATTTCTCCCCTTCATATTATTTGACATATATGACAAATCCTGCAATATCTTGGGCTACCCTTGTTGATGTAACCCTTCTGCCCATCAGAGTTGGCAGCAACAAGGGCCGGGTTCAATATCTAGGGGATCCATTCCAATAATACAATGCAAACCGGATCGAGCCCCCACCCAGTGACCTGGGACAAATATATACCACCCCCCTGGGCACCTCCAAGAGGCAATACTTCCCCTCTCACAAGCACATAGTCTGAGTGTAGCAAAAAGCCTTTTAATAACAGAGAGAAACAATGTGGT